TTCAGCAGGTAGTTCATTAATTTTAAGCTCTAGGGTGGTACATCTTGGTTAAAATATTTATTTAATTCATATGTTGAGTGATTTTATCCAATGTGCAAGAACATGTAAGCTATGTCTCTCTTCTTTGTGCTTCCTGATAATCACTCTTAAGTGGGTGACATATAGGTACATGCTTATCTCTTTATTTGCAGCATATTTTATAGTGGTGTTTTGCTTTATTTATATGATAGATAAGTGGAACAATTTGGTACCTTTATACTATTAATATATACTGAATAGGAATAATAAAATAACAAAAAAATACTCCTTTTCTTAGGTGGGGTAAGGGTAGATAGAAGCTGTATGTATGGCTTGTGCATATCTTGAACAGCTTAAATACTGGGGCTGAAAGTAATTAGAGTAACAGGTCTGACACATTTAATGTATTGGGGGGGTTACTGTGTAGACTTTAGAATATCTATTTGAATTTTTAATGCCAGTTCTTTCCTTAATTAGATTTTTCGTGAAGCTCGAAGAACAGTACCTAGTATTGTTTACATGCCTCACATTGGTGATTGGTGGGAAGCTGTCAGTGAAACTGTGAGAGCAACTTTTCTGACTTTGCTACAAGATATACCATCATTTTCACCCATATTTTTATTGTCTACCTCTGAAACCATGTACAGTGAACTGCCTGAAGAGGTAAGAACTCATTAAATATTTATCTTTTCTTATTATATGGTTTTAAAATAGTTGGCGTAAATTTGACACATTTTAGTTACTATAAAATCAGTACTGTCAAGGTTCATGCCTTGGTTGTACCATGTATTAGCCATGTGACTTAAGTTAGTTAACATTTTAAGTTTCAGTTTCTTTTTTTTGGTATGTATTTTGATACATTTCTCAGTGTTGTTGTGAATTTTGAGATAATTCATGCTTAGACCAGACCTCGACATATGTAGTACCTACTAAGAAGATCTTAGCTGTATCATCATCAATGCCATTATAATTATCCTTCTCATTCTTATCATCTGTTAGATTATTTGGTGAGATTTGACCTTTCAGCTCTTTCACTGGTAGCATCACATTAAGCTGAAGATTATTATGACTGTGCATATTTTTCAAATCTGATATTTAGCGTTTGAATTCAAATCCAACTCAATAGTAAAGATAAAAATCAGTTGTTTCAGAAAAAAATTAGTAGATCAACTCATGTGAATGAAATTGATTTTTAAGAAATTATTTTAACATTCTGAGCTTACTAGGTTTTGAAATAATCTCCTTTCAAAATGCTTAGAAATATTTTGCCCAGGCAACACAGTTCTTATAAAAAATTTACGTGTTTCAAATGCTATAATATAAATCTTGGTTACGTAGAATTTTATGATTCAGATTTTTTTTTTTTTTTACCAAGTTCTTTTGTTCTGTTTTAGCTCTTATTATCTATCTTGTTGCTAAACCGGATTTGTACAACTTACTACTCTTGTTAAGAAAATTATATTAAACGTAGACTAGTTCATTTTTTGCTATTCAGAATCTGATATTATTTGGAGACCATTAATCAAAATATTTTTTATCACAGGGAGCAATAAAGTTTAGTGGAAAGATGTATGTAGTACGAGTCAGAAAAACCTTGGTATTGACTTACTTGTCTTTTGATTTTGGATAAATATTTGAACCTAGAGCAGCTTCAGTTTCCTCACCTATAAAACGTGGATAATAACAGACAAGCTTGTTGGTGTGAGACAATATATGTGAGTTTATTTTGGAAGCTACAGAGCTATAATATGTTTGGTATTATATTAGTATTATAAAGTAAGAATGCACTCGAAATTGATTTAAGAGAGTGGACTGAGCCTGGACATAACCTAGGAGCCACTTTTAAAAATTAGATCCTCACTGTCAACTAGTTTTATTATAATTTTATAAAAAATAAAGAAAATTGGGATAATTAAGGGCTCCAGTTAGGAATATATAGTTAACTGAAGTTTCCTTATATTGTTTGAAAAATTTGTAAATAAAAGTCTTACTGAACCTGTCTTGATACACAGCAATTTTAATTTTGCCTATTCTTGTTGTCTGTTTTTGCATATGTGATTTTATTGTTGGTTTAGTTTTTTAAAAAACTAACATTGCATCTATATATTTTCAATGTTGCTATATTGTTATAATTTTTAGTGGATTCAAAAAGTCTACTGGTGAGTAGGCTTTTTTCATTATTTGTTTACCAATAACCTTAATTAATAGCTAAAATATTAAAAATTTACTAGCATTGAATCCTGAAATTTCAGCCCCCTCCCTTTGTCTTCTGTATTCTTTGCCCTTATTATAGCAAATAGCTACTAAAGCTATCATGGATATTCACATTTGTGGGTGAAGATTATGGGGTTTTTCTTAGACTACTGATTACATAACATTTTATACTAATTGTCCTTAGGAAAGCCTCCTCTGCCCCCAAGGCTTTCATTTTAATTTCAGCTTTGCCATTAGTATATTGCTTTGTTTAGGTCACAGACTGAAATAGTAGTGAATAATACTTAGCACGTACTGATAAATATTTGGTAAATGAATGAAAAGCATGGAGAGTTACAGACCGAGTAACTAGGTTAGCAAGGTGCCAGAGCTATGGAAGAAGACATGAAGTAGACAGTGGGTATCAAAAACTAAGTGATTCTAAAAGAAAGAGAAATAGCCAGTTACTATAGTGTATTTAAGAAAATACAATGGTAAGTTAAAATAACAGTAAGATACAGATTTTAACCTATGAAATAGGCCAAAAAAAAAAGTTGGATAAACTCTCTCCAGGACAGTTCATAGTAATAGATTTAAATACGTCTATTCATTTTAGGTCAGCAATACCATTTATAGGTAAGTAGTTTTTCATAGATAAAAAAGATACAACACAGACAACACAGAAAGTATTGTAGCCTTTCTTCATGGACAAACACAAAGATACAGCACAGGCAACACAAAAAGTACAAGAGTATTTATCATAGCCTTTCTTCATCAATTGGAAACTAAAAGTCCTAGAGTAGGGGATTGATTATAGTGGATTCCTTCCATGAAATACAATGAGACCATTAAAAATATTGATGTAGAAGACATTTAATGTCATGAAAAGATGTTTGAATGTATTGCTAAAAATTGCAGATATTAAATTAATATATATGGCATTATCTGGGTTTATATAGAAATAATTATATATTAGTTATATAGTCATATATAAAAACTATATGTAACTATTAATAGAAATGTTAATAGTAATTATCTCTGGGTCTTAAGATTATAGTTATTTTTGTTATCTGTTTTCTAAATCTTCTGTAATAAGTGCTGCTGTTCTCATCAGAAAATAAACTCATTCAGAGATGAAAGGAAAAGGTTCTCAATTTTTAAAAACACCACCAAACAAAAAAAATTGTCATCATGGGACTAATATTAGGGATACAAAAATGTTTTCTTTTTGTGGGACAGAGTGACAACCTCATCTTTTGGAGCCCTTTTAAAATTCTCTTGTAAATGTGTCTTTGTATAGCTTTCCCTTTTTAATCCCAAAGTAAGACAATGCATTGGGATATTGAGAAAAACATTAGAACTTCTATTCATTTTTATTTTTCATATTATCTTAAAAATGTGTGTGTATGTTTCATAATAGAAATAGTAATATTAGAATAGTACATTTAAGTAAGTATGTATATATACTGGAGGGAGTATTTTTTAAAATTAATTAATTAATTAATTTTTGGCTGCATTGGGTCTTCATTGCTGCGCGCCAGCTTTTCTCTAGTTGCAGAGAACGGGGGCTACTCTTTGCGGTGCACGGTCTTCTCATTGCAGTGGCTTCTCTTGTTGCGGAGCATGGGCTGTAGGTGCGTGGGCTTCAATAGTTGTGATGCACAGGCTTAGTTGCTCCGCGGCATGTGGAAGCTTCCTGGAGCAGGGCTCAAACCCGTGTCCCCTGCATTGGCAGGTGGATTCTTAACCACTGCGCTACCAGGGAAGTTCTTTTTTTTTTTTTTTTTTAAGTATCATTTATTGAGTTTGATGTGCACAAGTGTCAAGTATGGAGGTAGTATTTTCAAATTTTTTTTACTGATGAGGTGTTTCATCCAAAAAAAAAAAAAACATTGGAAATCATTGCTCTAGACCAGCTGTTATCAAAGTGTGATCCAAGGACCCTTGTGGGCCCCACAAGACTTTCAGAGGTTTGTCACATTCCTCTTTTTTGTATTTTGCAACTATGTATCTTCTTGAATATGGTTTTTTTTCATGTATACCAATCAGAGCAACATTACTGTAACAGGTTGAATGCAGAGGCAGAAAATGAGAATCCAGTTGTCTTTTTTTTCTTTTTATAAATTTTTAAATTTATTATTTATTTTTGGCTGCATTGGGTCTTTGTTTCTTTGCCCCTTGGAGGGAGGGGGTGCTGGGGGGACTACTTTACATTGCAGCTGTGTGGGCTTCTCGTTGCGGTGGCTTCTCTTGCTTAGGAGCACGGGCTCTAGGCGCGCGAGCTTCAGCAGTTGTGGCTCCCGGGCTTAGTTGCTCCTCCGCATGTGGGATCTTCCCCGATCAGGGCTTGAACCTGTGTCCCCTGCACTGGCAGGCGGATTCTTAACCCCTGCGCCAGCAGGGAAGCCCCAGTTGTCTTTTATTAAGCCAGACATAAGAGAGATTTGAAGAAATGTAAAACAGTGCCACTTTGCTCACTAAATTTTTTTAATATATATAATGTTTTATATTTTGGAAAAATATGTCTTTCAAAATAATATATGTATATTTTTTACATTTATTTTATTGAAGTATAGTTGATTTACAGTGTTGTGTTAATTTCTGGTATACAGCAAAGTGGTTCAGTTATACATATATACGTTCTTTTTCATACTCTTTTCCATTATGCTTTATCACAGGATATTGAATGTAGTTCCCTGTGCTGTACAGTAGGACCTTGTTGTTTATCCATTCTTTTTTTAAAAATAAATTTATTTATTTTATTTATTTATGTTTGGCTGCATCGGGTCTTTGTTGCTGCATGCGGGCCCTCTAGTTGCGGCGAGCGGGGCCCACTCTTTGCCACAGTGTGCAGGCTTCACATTGCAGTGGCCTCTCCTGTTGCGGAGCATGGGCTCCTGGCGTGTGGGCTTCAGTAGTTGTGGCATGCGGGCTCAGCAGTTGTGGCTCGCATGCTCTAGAGCGCAGGCTCAGCAGTTGTGGTGCATGGGCTTAGTTGCTCCGCAGCATGTGGGATCTTCCCGGACCAGGGCTCGAACCCATGTTCCCTGCATTGGCAGGTGGACTCTCAATCACTGTGCCACAAGGGAAGCCCTATACATTCTCTATGTAACAGTTTGCACCTACTAATCCCAAACTCCCAATCCAACCCTCTCCCTTGGTAATCACAAGTCTGTTCTCTATGTCTATGATTCTGTTTCTGTTTAGTAGATAAGTTCATTAAAAGAATATATTTTTTAATGTTAACATGTAATAGGTTTTAAATGAATACATAATTTGGAAGGTTCTTAGTTTTAATTTTTAGTACATAAATATTGACAGCTATAATCCAGGTAAGCAGAAGCTCTTTTGGGTTCTTGAGTAATTTTTAAGAGTTTAATAAAGTGTGGAGACTAAAATATTTGAGACTCTCTGACCTAGACCACAAGCTCTTTGAGAGGAGGGGACTGTCTTACTGCCCTTCACTTCCT